CGTTCGTAATTTAAGAAAATTTACGAATATTTCCTAATTCAATTTCAAACATATGAGTTTTAACCTTTAGTTGTTATTTGACTTCCAATTAATGACTTTAAGCTAAACTTATTAAAATTAGGCTTGCAAGTTTTATGTTCAATAGTTGAAAAAGTAATTGAGGTTACATTTATAATTTTAAAAATTACAATTAAACCTCCAATCACTTTAGATTAACTATTTTTTATTTATTTTTGGTTGTTTTTTGTTTATTAATGATCATTTGAGATTAAGTTTCAGGAGTTCTAATTCTTTAATGTTCACATTAGAGGTTTAAAAGTTAATAAGGGTACGTTTATAATATTGAAAAAATTACAAACATAACCTCTCCTCACCTTCTTAATTACGAGTTTCTTTATGTATTAATCATTTTGAGCTTCATTAATGGGTTTTAATTATGTTTTAAGGTTCTTTTAACAAAGCTACCCATCCACTTATGCACATGATTAACCTCATCAATTTTCTGCATCGGTGATATTAGCTGTCAACCCTCTCCAAGCAGGGCCATGAGCCTAGATGCATTTCGCTAGATTCCGCTCCTTGGTGGTAGGGCTGTAAACGAGCCGAGTTTGAGCGAGCTCAGATTTGGCTCATGTTCTGCTCGTTCGAAATAGCTCGTGTTCAAAATTGTCTCGTGTTTGAAATCGGGTCGTGAACAGTGTGTTCGTGTTCAGCTCAAAATTGACTCGTTAAACTTAAATTGAAAAAAGTAGATGTAAAGTGTGAGATTCAAAACTGGATCAAATATATATAAAAGAAGACACTAACCATATTGTCACATGAGTTGTTATTATTTAAACTTATTCAAGCTAAAACGAGCCGAAAATGAGCCGAACACGAGCGAACAATGAGTTGTTCGTGTTCGGCTCTTTTATAATTCGAGTTTTAAAAATTTGTTCATGTTCGGCTCGTTTACTTAACAAACGAGCCGAACACGAGCTGTTCGCGAACAACGAGCTTTTTTGACAGCCAGACTTGGTGGGAGTGAAGTAAGCAAGTCCTACTTTTATCACTTAGATTAGATAACATATTCATACCAGTATTATTGTTTATTACTTTAGTTTAGGTTTTGAGTTGGTCTTATTGATTTTATTGACAGGACAAGTCAACTATTAGTCATTTCCACAATCTTGTATCCTTGAAATATAATTATTGAATTTCTAAAATAAAATTGAAGAAGTCAAACAAAAAATCATTATCAATTTTAAAATTTAAAACCTAACTATATAATAGTCTGAAACATCATCAAGCCTAACAATATCTAGTGCTTTTTATATTTCTTGTTGACTTGTGATAAGAACAATTCTAATTTCAGTTAATCTCACTTAAATCTTAAACTTTGTGATCTATATAAATGATAACCTCTATTTTGATTAGGAGTTTTCCTAAAAGGTAGCCCCTCTTAGGATATAATTGAATATAGGGGGCTTTCCTTTTAGGTATATTTTACCTCAATAAATAATGAACCATATCATATTTTGTAAGATACGTGAAAATTTTGACAACAAAGACCCGAAATTTTGAAACCATCACTTCATAATTAGATCCTTCGTAGGATAGTGGGCTTACTCTTTAAGGTGATATGCTTTTCTTGATGTCATATCTAAACACGTATAAGAAATTATAGGAATCTTTTGTGGTCTGTGCATTCCATCTCCAATGCAATGCACTTCTCTCCAAGCATAGACAACTCCACTTCTATATTAGACATATTTGGTAGTTTTTCAATTTTATAAAAATTTAGACCTTAAAGCATCTACTACATTATTTTTTCTGCAAGAAATTTGGTATAAGGCAATGACATGTATTTATTTGAGGAGTTAAATTGTATATTGGTAATACTAATAAATATAAGCTTAAAAATCTTGTAGACCATGGATAATTGATTAGCAACCAATTGAAAGTTGACAATATATTGATATCCTTAATGTCCATGAGAATTATTTAATAATCAAAGCTTTGTACTCAACTTTATTATTAGCACACAACCATGATATGTGATAAGAATATCATAACATTTTTTTATTGAGCTAAATATAACTCTCAAGAAGGCCTAACAAATCCTTTAAAACTCATGATCTAATTATAATGGAGATCATCATTTAAAGATGAGTCTATAGGAACAAGAAGTGTTGCTAAGAATTCAGTTAGAGCTTGACCTTTCATAAAGCATAGAGGGATGAAAGTGATGTCAAATTAAAGCGGAATCAATAACTCTCAAGCCAAGCATCTTAACAATATCAATAAGGTAATCAAATACAATAATCAAATGATTCATGAGGTCTAATTCATCTTATAACAGAGTATGGAATATCTCAGCTTTTAGGTCACGAATACTAGGGCTAAATAATGTATCTCAATTAATTGATACTTTATTTTCAAGGATATTAGATGATGGCTTAAATAGTAAACAGTAATTTTTTTTTGCCTTCCTTGTTAACATGAGATAATAAGACCTTTGCAAGTTAGGAGCAACCAACACTAAAGGTAACATTAGGTACTACTTTATATTATTGAAAGTATGCTAATATTTCTCATCTAATGAAAACTATTACTAGTATAATAATCAAATTTATCCATTTTTTTGGTCAATCTATGAAAGCTATGATAATATTAATTGTCTAACCAAATTATCTTTTTTTAGTAATTTACTCTCTATAATTATAAGAGGATTAAAGAATTAAATGTATATCCATGTAAGTAGTTCAAGATAAAGCTAAGTTGACTTGATGCATCCACTAAAAGCAAAAGACATGAAGATAAAAGAGTCATTTGAACAAAGTTCCCCAAAGGTTAATCATTAAAGTTTCAAGTCACTTTCTTGAGACTCAAAAGTTAAGTTCCCAATTCGAAGGACTCAAGTTCGATAGGGCACTTGCTTAGCTCAGAGGACATAAGCTTATAAACAATGTCTTAAAAACTGGACCACATTGGTTGGTCCAATGGGTTCATCTCTGAACCTGCCTTATAACTAGTTCAGTTAAAAATCAAAATTGATGAGAATCTGTTAAAACCTGCAGTTAAATTGGTGAATCGGTGAACCAAATTAAATTCTTAAAAGCTAATCCATTTTAATATAATTTCAGCTTTCTGATTTTAATCTGAATGTTGGAAATAAAAGAGTTATTTTAAAAGTTAAGAAAATGATAAAAAAAAATTACAAACCCACAATTTATTTTAAAAATATATTCAGAATATTTAAGAGTTAAGCATCCTAAATTAAAATATTATATATTGAATTAGTAAAAATATTTCCATTATATAATTTTTACATCATTTAAATCAAATAAATTTATTTTAGCATTTATTTCATCATCTAATTCAACATTTAATTCAATTTTACATGAATCTTTAAATACTGAATATTTTTTGTTTCAATTCAATGTCTAGTCTAGTTGAAACAACCTTGCTCAAACAATATTTGTTGAGACAAGTGGGTCAAATTAAGAAGACACTATTCCAAGATAGTGGCTACTTGTTAGCTTGAAAGGCAATAACCAAAGAGCTTAAAAGAAATTGTTGTTCAGGATTAATAGATTTTCCAAGTAAAGCTTTGAAAGCACTCGTCAATGCTACAATCCATATGTATTCTTATCACTATGTTCATGTGTCTTTAACAGACATATCACATTATTATTATTTTTTATTAAAGTATAATCTTTTTTTGAGGCTAAATATTTATAAATACGAATCAAATGGTTACATTGGAAATAGTACATCCAACTCTATACTTCAAACAAAATAAAAATAAAACCTTGCAAAGTTTCCTTCATTTTGGTTCTCTCTAACTCTTTCTTATTCTTCATCTTTCTCTTTGCCATAATTATATGAAAATCTCAAGTGTTATTCAATTGTTATCATAAATAAATTTAAATCAAACGTATGAACTCAATAAAGCCAAATTTCTCTAAATAAGTATTTTTATAAGTCACGAGTGCGAATAAACTAAAATAAAATAAAAAATTAAAAAAATCAATATTAATATATTTATAATAATTTTAAAGATGTTTATAAATTAAATTTTAGGGGTCATTTGGCAGCAAATTTTAGCATGATTTAAGCATTAATCTTAAATCCTACAAGGCTAACTTTTTGAGCAAGTTAAATTCACTAGAATTTAAAATCTTATTCGAGCTCTATTTCACCATAAATTCCAAATTTACTAAATTTGGGAGTTTGATGGATTTAAAGGATTTAGACTAAAGAAATGCGGGAAGGGTGAGAGGAGAAATATTATCCTTGTCATTGTTTCACCGACAAGAGCCTCTTTTCAACTTCAAGTTCTCGTTGCAGTGTATTACTTCATTTTCTTGTGGATGCCATGTAGGAGTAGAAAAAGGAGAAGAAAGATGAGGGTTTTAGGAAATAAGAGGGTAAAGTGGAAGATAATGAGACTTACTATATTAATTTTCTTAATTTAATGGAATGATTGCAAATATATAGTTGAATTAAAAATTCATTAATTTAATTTAACTTTAATTTTTAATTGAGTACTAATTGTTGATAAATTAATAACATTTTATTAAACTAACTATTAATTAAGTACAAATGCTTTGATAGGATGATAAATAAATAATTAATGATAGCTAATGAATACTAAAATACTAATTAATAATTAATTGCTTTCCTAAAATTCTAATTAATGATTATAATTAATAAATGCTTATTTATTTTTGTTATTAATAAATAAAGTTCAATTAGCTTAATGAATAACTAATTAAAAATGGTTGAAATAGGAATAATTAGAAATTAAATTAAAAGTAAACCAAACTTAATAAATTAATCATTAATAAGTAATATTAAAATGTTCTTTGATTTAATAGATATAAATATAAAAATAAATAACAACATAATTCATTCAATTAATATAATTTCTATCCTATCAAATAAATTTTAAAAATTTATTAAATTGGAATTTATAAAATAAATTATTGCATTAAGGCTCGAATGTGGACGAGTGTTTTTCGGCAACAATCGGGCGGCGGTGCGCAATTGGAGCACCACCGGGATAAAGGGTGAAGGATCAGTTGGCGGTTAATCTGTTGGATATCTTCTCATCTCCGCTGCTTCGCCGACCAAATCATCGTTTCTCCATGTCGGAACCCTACCCCGACGATCTCGACCAACTTCTCGATAGTATGATTCACCCATTAACGCCTTTCTCTTTACCTGTCGTGGTACTTTTACTAGTTGATCATTTGATCTCTCGTTTTTCTTCCAGGTGCTTTGGATGATTTTGCGAAGCTCGATCTCGCCCCCAGTCAGAGGTGTTTCTCTCTTTTCCGTCCATTTTGAAATTGTAGATTTTCTGTTAATTTTCTGTTATCTATGTTTTCGTTTGATAGGGGAAGCAGCAGCGGCGGAGAGGGGAAGGAAGGAAGGGGCGATGTGTTGGCACAGGCTTCTTCTTCCTCTTCAGTGAGGGGGTTGGGGATTGGTCTTCCTGATTTGAGGTCTAGGAAGCAGCAGAGGGCTCTTCCTCCGAAGAAAACTCACGCTACCGAGACGCTCGAGAAACTTACACAGCAGACTCGCGAGGCTGTTCGGGAGCTGGAATCGGTAACGTCTGCGGCAGCAGCAGGTTCAAGGGCCGCTGGTGGGTTTGACGAGGAGAGCATGGTCGAAGACTTCGTCAAGCAGTTCGAGGAGCTCGCTGGTTCGCAGGTTTTTATTTGTTTTTCTACCCCTTTTTATTAGTCTGTGATTGAAGTTTATGATAACTTTTACTGTTCTTTTTCTCTTTGGAGATCCATGTGTCAGTCGGATTATGATTTAAGGAGTGAGGGTTCCAAATCACTCAATTAAACTAGCAATAATGATTAGTTTCTTACGTTTAATTTATTTTACAATTATTTTGAATAATTAGTATTCTTTGAGCTTTGAATTCCATAGCGGAAACTAAGCTCGACTGGCTGGTTTACGAGTTTGCTGTTAATGTACTTTTGAAATTTAATTAAAATTATCCAAGCTTGTTTTGTAGGCATGTTCGGTGAATTTACACTAATTATTTGGCGCGAGGGTTGTGGAAGCAAGAAATTTTATGAAGTTATAGTATTTGTTATGGCTAGAGAATAGAGAGAGCGATGGGTTTGAGGAGAAGAATTTTATTGTTGTATAAATTTGTTTTTGGCTTTTTTAGGGTTTGTTGGGGGAGGGGAGTTGGTCTCAAGATATACACCTCTCATTCGTGTGACAAGACTGTTTTGGTAGCAAACAAACATGATTGTGCTTTGCACTTGATCGGAAATATTAGTGTTTCTGAAGATAGAATGGTTTTAGTACCTTTTTGAAAGAGATGAAAGGAATTTAAGGTGAATATTTTATTTAAAGTTGTTTGTAATTAAGGGCTTATTTGGTTTTTTTTTTAAGTAATATAGGTGTAAAGTAAAAACTTCTCACGAATCTTTAATTTATTGAGTGTTTGATATAGAGCAAAGTTGAAGTAAACATAATTTTTCTTAGGTTGTGATATGCATGTGATGTGACAATATGAATAGTACATGTCTTAAGTAGCTAGGTCTGTGCTGCATTAAGAATATCAACTTTGAATTTATATCTAATATCTCAATAATCTAACAACTTGATATGCTGATTTTTTGGAGTTGATTTATTTTTCTGTCTTTATTCATTTAGACAAAGCTCTACAAATATCATAGATTGGCTTAGGTATTCTTCTGCCAAGATGTCATGAAATATGTCTTTATTAACTGTCATCAATCCTTTTTTGAGTTAGGACTGTTAAAGTTGAGTATTGCTTGTGTTTTTAAGGACCTTTAATTTCTCTTGTATGTTTAGGTTGAACATTACTACTTATTTTTAAAACTTATGATTTCTATTGTTATGTATTGGATGAAAGGAATCTCATCTACCAGATACAGCCATGATTTTATGCATAAAAAATGTTTATTCAACGAGCAATAGTGTCAATTTTGCTAACTTATGAAGATTTGTACTTTCTCTTGATATCAAACGCTAGTGTTTTTATACATTATAATTTCTTTATTTATGGATCTTCTCTTCTTATATATGAATTCTATTTTTTATTTGATCCAAAACTTGTGTTTATTTAGTTCGTGCCGGATAGAAATGATGTATAGTTAACATTATTTGTTCTATTTACAGGATATGGAATCAATAGTAGAAACCATGATGCAGCAGCTTTTATCAAAAGAGATTCTCCAGGAACCGATGAAGGAAATAGGAGAAAGATATCCTAAGTGGTTACAAGAGCATAAAAGCAGCCTAAGCAAGGAAGAATATGATCGCTATTATCGCCAATACGAGCTGATATTAAAGCTTAATGAAGCTTATGAAGAAGACCCTGATAACTTCCATAAAATAGTTGATCTTATGCAGAAAATGCAAGAATGTGGCCAACCACCAAGTGATATTGTTGAAGAGCTTGCTCCTGGTCTTGATTTAAACAATCTAACCCAATTGTGAGTCTCCCCTTCTTGGTTTTGAAATGCAATCATCTAAAGTCAAGAAAAATATTTAAGATATTATCTATAAGGTTACACCATATTTCTGATAGTGTATGATTTATTGAAACTAGGATTATTTGTGCTTATTCTCATTCTAATAAACAAGAAATTCTCCTTAGAACAATAGAATCCTATGTTATGGTATTTCACTTAATTTTCAAGCTTGCAAGATATTGTGACAATGCCATTCTTTTTTGATGGGCCAGTATATCATGATTGAGCAATGGATTGTACAAGATTAATAAATTTATGCATTATGGTATTAGTGCAATTATTATACAACCTCTTACGTCATGTTGCTTGCCAAGGCATAAAATTTTGGTTAGCTTAGTGTTACCCGTCTGTTCAGTTCCTATAGACATCATTTTTAATGGCATTGTTCTTTGAAAAAATTATTGGACTTATTCGATTGCCTATTTGCTTTAGCTACTTGCCAGATATTTTTTTTTTCTTAATTCTCTCTGAATATTATGTTACATTAGCTAACATTTTGCTCCATATATGTCACAACTTAGGCTTTCAGATTATCTATTCATTAACTCATTGTGGTTGTAAAATTGGGTAGTAATTGATTGCATATCAAGTTTAATGTTATTCAGCTGTACATGAGTTTATAACCCAAATGTTAGAAAGGGAATTTGAGGCATTAAGCTGATATTTAAACGCTAGTGTTATTTACTCAAAAAACAATGACATTAAATAATGAGGGACTGTAGATCAATGAAGTAGATATCAGCTTAAATATGACAGTTCGATAATAAAAGCAGTGCCCATCATTCAATTGATGTGATGGAATTTATAAATTTCTAATGAAAGAAAAAGAAACAGAGCCCCAAAAAATAATTGCAACCACACCCGCAACATGGAATAAATTATAGTTCACAGCCAATCAATTGCATGATATAACACTTGCTCAGACATCCAACCACATAATATTAATCAATTATTAACTAAAATATCGATGATATGCTCTCGTAACTCAGCCATCTCATCAGCACCTTCCCCGTCACCTACGCAAGGGTTGACACTATCCTCATCAGTATCCATCAGTGATTCGCCCAAGCAATATTCATATGCTTCAGAAGGCACTGATTCGTTTTCTTTTATGCTTGCAAAGTCAATGTCAAATTGAGAATGATGGCGATATGTGTGATTATGAATTATCATTATCGCAACAACAATTTTAACCTATTTTTCAAATGAGTATGTTGGCATGTCTTTTGGAATAACCCACTTTTTCTTCCAAACTCCAAAAGCTCTCTCAATCACACCTCTTAATGATGAATGTCACTTATTAAATAATTCTTTTCTTCGTCACACTACTTGACTAGCCCTTTCGAAGTCTACAATGTGATATCTTACGTTTGAAAATAGTTTTAGAAATCCCTATTGTAATGGATATCCAACATCCTCTAAATAGTATTTTCTTATTAGAATAGTCAATCTTGAGTTACTATATGAAACATTAATATAGGTTTAAGAAAGAGTTATCTAACCTCGAGGCGGCAAGAGAAAGTTATGCATACGAGATCGTGTTGCAAACTTGAAAATTCGGCTAATGTTAACACTGTCTTCCCAACCAACCATGAAAAAAGTGAAACACAAATTAAAATCGCAGACTATCATTACATTTTGGGTGGGTGAACCATAACGTCTAATGTATGAGACTTTATCCGCATCTGATACATGCATGAACATGTGTTCTATCAATAGTACCAATACATTCATATCTTTCGGGATTGTACAATTAAATGAGAAAATTATTTGAAGAAAATAAAACAATTTCACAATTCCTTGAAGCATGACATATAACGATGATCTCATGATATTTCTCTCAGGATAGTTTGGAAAGTTGGGCCTTCAGACTTGATAGTTTCACCAGACATACTTAGACAAACTTCTCAAGGCATTCAAGCCAATAAAGAAATATCTACTCATAGTTTCAGATGAATGTTGAAATCTCTCGCATGTGCATCTTATAGATTTATTATGCGATAAAATGTAAAGTGTTATGGCCAATACATCCTTAGAAGTTATTCTAAAAGAGCCGCGAAGACCATGACTATTATGCAGTTCATTTAAAAGATCAATAAAGATTTATTGGCTCATACGAAACATATCGAAACATATTATGAAATTCTCCCTGGATGTCCCCCAAGAAGTTCATTTACCCACTTGTCTCCGGTATATGCCGACTTTATTTATGGAGTTTGATAGATTTATGATTTATAGTATGCAGTCAGCACACATACAACTGTTGTAATGATTTTTTTGCAATATTTTCTATGTTATCCATCATTGGGATCCATAGCTGTAAAATAATTAACATTGTTACACAGAAGTTATATCACACGCTGTATGTGGGGATTAAATGTTAGATTATCACAAGGTAGAACATGTATATTAGAGCGATTTTATGTAGTATCATCACATATGGTGGAATTTTGTATTGTATTGGGAGCATAAATACCTTTGCATGTCTTCTAGTGGAAATTTATGTAGTTAGCCCTTGGGATGAAGGTTTGTACCCCTTGTAGTGCAAAGTTTTCATGGAACATATATGAGCGTGTTTACATCCTCTTGTGATGGGTTGATGCCTTAACATCAATTCAAATATATTTATGAATCATTATTTGCCTTGACTTCAGGATGACTGAACTTTTTGAGTGTTAAGTGATAATTTGATTGGATCAACTTGTTTTCATCATGGTCAAACTCATGTCTTTGATATTTATGATTTATTAATTTGAAGAGATGTTGTACATTTAGAATCATGCCTGTGCTTGAGTATTGTTAAGATAGATTGCCCGTGATTGTTAGATCAACAAGGAGTTAATGACCTGCATTGTGGTTCTTGGCTATCTAGCTTAGCCTAGTTAAATTAGGTGGCTATTATGCATTTTCAGTCACACTCAGCATGAGATTTAAATGATGACTCATAGGAGACTATTATTTGAACTAAGATTTTTTGAATAACATTTAGGTTCTTAGCTATTTAGATTGATCAATTAAGTGAATGTTATGTGTTTGGAGTCACATCATATTATGAGTATTATGATGATGATGATTCATCTAAGATTGTTCGATCGCATTTTATCTTGATTGACTAGTAAACTTCAAGAATTTTCCTTTATTAAGAGGAACTTCATAATCCATTTCCTCGTTCATTTTGAAAGATTTGATCTATGGTGTCAACAATGAAGGAATTGTTGATGGGAATCATTGCCAATGGAGAGATCTTTAACATTCTTTGTTTGTATGTTTTTGTTGTTGGTATAACTATCGAGCAGTCATCAACATAGTCAACATCTTCATAGTCATTGTCAGCCATAATGATTATCATAGAATAATCATTGAGTTTGTTGTCATTACCATACTCGTCGATTGAGTTGATTTTCAATGGAGTAGATGCTAACATTGTTGTGATCACATATCGTATTTCAAATGAGTGGACCACCAATGAAGTGATTGTTGGTGGAGTCATAATCGGCTTATTACTGCTGATGGAGTAAATTGTCATTGGAGCGATCATTAACAAAGTCATTATTAGAGTAGTTGCACTGGGCTATCAATGAAGTGGCCGTTAATGAAGTAGCAATTGGCCCCGATTGCATAATTGTCATTGCTAAGGGAGCATTAAACTATCAATGAAGCGGCCATTGATGAAGTTGCCATTGTCATAGTTATTATTGATTGGAGTGGGCAATTATCAATGGCATAACTATCGTTGTTAAGGGATGCATTATTGAAGAGAACATTGATGATGAAAGTATCGCAGGTATGTTCATCATCTACATTTTGTCATTCCCTAAGGTGGTTGATGAAGAAGGTATCATTAATGGAGGAATCGTCAGGGAGGAACCATCATTGGAGATGCTTCCACATGTTTTTACACCTTGCAAGAATAACGGAGACCTGACATAAATTGTTACAGTAACTCTAATGATAGTCTTTGCAAAATGCAACAATGATAATAACCATCATAAGCAAGCCTAGGAATGTAATTATAAATGTCAATAGCGATAAGTTGAATGACATTGAGAACTTGATAAAAGTAGTTTTTTTTATTACCTTATGATTAATTTCCATATAATGAGTGGATCCACTTATATCATTATTTGTATGCATGGAGAATCATCCTTATTTACCCCCATATCCATGAATGAAGTTTCCAAAGACATTATGTCTAGAAAAATCAAAATAATATTCGTTTATGAAGAATCTATGTTATTATCATTTTTTTTGTTTTGATTGAAGAATCCTCATCAACATTATGTTAATATACATGGAGATCATATAATCATTATTGCTAATTTTTTGCATGGATAAAGCCATATAACTTTGTTTTAATCATTGACAATCCATATTTTATTCAAATAATTAATATTCATTTTAATTTCCCTTTTGCAGGGACGATCCCCATTCATTTTGATTATAATGCATGGCTAATGCAGTTGTATTTTTTTTTTTACTTTGAGATGTTACATACATTTTTTTTAATAAATTTCTTTTTTTGCATGTGAAAAGTGGAGAATTGCGTTAGACAGTTGACAACCGGTGTAAAATTTGTCAAAATATTTGAATATATCCTTTATAGAGTTGGTGTAGCTCCAGTTGCGGATAAAATTTGAGAAAGTCATCTTAGATGATTTGATCACATCAAACGTCGACCATCTGATGATCCAGTTAGGAGAGTAGATGTTTTAGATTCGATTTATGTTAAGAAAGACAGAGGTAAACCTAGAAAGACGTGGTCATATAGTATAAAAAATGATCTTAATTTATTAGAATTAAATGAAAATTTGACACTCAATAGTACGCAATGGAGAAAAAGGATTTATGTAGCCGACTTATTTAAAAGCTGTCGCACAACAACTGTGTCAGGAAGCGCTTGCGTAGAAGCTACCGCGGGGAGGCTGTGTGTTTGTTTGTTTTGCGCAGTTGTGCAATAGCTA